TAAGAAAATTAATGCATTTTCTTTTCAAAGATGAACACAGCTAAACGATGCAACACAGATAAAAATAAAATTTTTTGTAAAGCCTGCTTCTCTATGTACTCTGACACAAAAATCATTTTTGAAACCTTCTTTAGTGATGCATACCACGTAGATTTTTAATGAATGAGTTGGGCGTCTTCAGATCAATTAACCAACTGCTGGCTGCAATGTTAAGCTTGGATACTGCTGTTACTACCAGCAGATACAGATAATCGAAGTTTAGTTCTGGTGTCATTTAAACTGCATGTCTCCCCCCTTAAGGAAAAAAAAAAAAAAAAAAAAAAAAAAAACGTAACGCAGCATCTTGATGAGCAGCTTGCCCTCATCTACCAGTCAGCACCCGGAGTGTGCGGAGGGGAATCTAATGCGATACTGCAGGGAAACAAAAGGATGGCCTCAGTTAAAAAAAAAAAAATTATAAATAACGAAAAAGAAAATAAAGAAATAAAGCCAACCCCCAACAGCTGTGTTCACAAAACAGAAATGAAATATTGTGGTTTTAGAAAGATTAATGTGCAACAGTGAGCTACATTACACTAGCCAGCTGCTGGCACTAGATCTGTATTTATCATACCGCTATTAGAGAGAGGGGGACTGAATTTCTAAAAGTGATTGGGGAATTTCTATTCTGTCATAAACAACTAAAAATAAATATGAAAATAAATATGAAAACCACCAAGTTAAAATCAGTCGTAATCACGTCGCCAACTATTAGACAAAAAGTCTAATAGATTAATCAAGAAAATGAATATGCATGCTTTTGGAATGACTGTTGTCCAAAATCTATCTTTGAAAAAACATGTAAAGTCTCTTCCTCTGTACTTAAAATCCAAATAAATTCTAGAGAAACTGTTTTTAATAGGTCAGAGAAGACAAATACCAAATAATTTAGGCAAAGAAGGCTCAGAGGAACCAAGATGAAGCATTTAAGTCTGAGAACTTCCAAGAAAAGCGGTGGTGGGATGATAAGGGCATGTGTCAATGAGGATAGAGGAATATCTTCCATTTCACTTTATATCAGCAGGTAGATTGTTGAATCTTAGACATGAGATGATGTTCCAGTAAGATACAGATGCTAAACAACAAAACTGGTTTCAGAAGAACAAAGCTGAGCTGCGTTAAGCTCTTTGGAAATTTCTGAGCTATTATACATCATCCCTCAGTTGATTATAGAAAATTTCCAATGCAGTCAAACTTCAGCACCAAACTCTATGTTTTGTAAATCCCTAAAGTTATTTGTAGCAGTATCATTCTACGTGTTTCTGCTTCCCATTTTGAACATTATTTTCCTTTTCAAATAAACTTGTCCATCTGCTTTTCCCATGCACATTTCAGGCTTAATCTGATTTGACACAATTTAGTTTTTCCCTTTTTAATGTCCATTAGTGGGCAATTTGTGCCCGTTTTCTTGTCGCACTGTGCTTCTTCTGGCTCCGTTAGCTTCAAAACCTCCTAAGTGAAATTAATTTACTTTGCATGCATTTGTGTGAACTGCAAGAACATTATGTGCTTCTTGTTTTATAGATCCTCACTCACTGTCACGAGTGCCTTCAACAGCAAAATAACTATTCTTTTTTGATTCTGTCAGATGTGCACAAAGGAGTGGTGACTTTATTGTGAATAAAGACAGTGAGAATGCTGAAGCCATATGGTTAATATTTAGTGGAAAATAAGATAATTGAAATATCCAAACTTTTCTACTATTGTCACTTCATTATGTGGCTGTCAGGAGCTTGATACACACAAGAATTTGTTCTCTGCAGATTTTTTTGACAAATAAAACGAAAACATGCAAGAGTGTCATTTTGCAGGAATCACATACTCCAAGAGAAGCACCAAGACAGCTTGCCAGTACTTGGAGTCTGCAAAAGATTAAGAGCAGCTTGTTTTTTTTGATATACACTAATGTGCTTTTAAGAAAAATCTCTAAGAAGACAGGCTAAATACTAACTATTACATAATAAGATGCACATTCATTGTGGCACCAAAAAGCTTTCTAAAACCTTCCATCTCCATATTAAAGTAATGTATACAAGCATGTTTTTATCCTTCAACACAAGTCTTTTAAAACAACAATTACAATTTCTCAATCTTCAAAAAATAAAAAAAATAAATAACTTCAACATTCATGCTTTTATTTTTGTAACAACCAATTTCAGAGTCAACAAAATGGGGAAAAAAATAATAAAAGTACCTCCAGGTTTACTGATCGGATTCTGCACACATTCTTAAATGGAGAAAAGAAACGGACTCAATGTGAAGGAGATGGATAAAAACCTGCAAGGGCGTCTCTTTAAAATGTGGCCACAAAAAAAAAAAAAGAAAAACCTTTTAACCTTGAAGAAAATGGAGTTCATCTCTTACCAAAGGCACAAAATCATGCACAACTGCTCTTCATTTTCATTTTGATTGAGGGCACGTTACTCCAGATTGGCCTTCTAATATTCACGGCTCCAACTGAATCAGTGTAATTGGTCGATACGTTCTCACTCCAATATTTTGCTTTGGCTAGCAGCTGTGGATAAACAGAAGAATCACACGTGCGACTTTGAAAGAACCGAGAGACAATGGCAACGGCTCTGTGCCTTTTGCTGCCGGAGCTGTGGACGGCAGCAGACGCGCTCCTCTGCTCCCAACTGCTGCTACGGTTTTCCTACAGGATAATAATTTCCTGTTTCCTTTGAGGACTGATCTGCTGATTCCAATTTTCATCAATTTAAAATTTTAATACGCGAGAGACAAAAAACATATGCAGCATAAGTGGGATCCAACAGAATATGAAGGAAAGAGTATACATCTGAGAATTAACCTAATCTTTGATTTTTATTCGACTCAAAAAAGAACAATTATGCATTATGTTGGTTGATGCATTTATGGGCCACAAATAGTATGACTTCTTGGAAGCTGATCACAACCTAATCTAGAAATTAAAAAACTACTCTGTCTCATATCTGCATCTTTTTACTAAAAAAAAGGGTCCAATAATTACCAGATTAATTTCCAGCTGGAGACCTGTTTGCTTCTGATATTAAAGCCATCACTAATGATCAAGCACAGCCTCAGTGGCAGCAAAACAATACATCACCTTTCTCAACTTCAAAAAGAGAGCTTCAAGAAACAAAGCACTCGTGACGGACCCCAAAGCCTGATCAGGCTCACAAGGGATGCACCGGAAGCCAATGAGTGCTCGTCCAACAACCCACAGGACCCAAATGATCCACTGCCAACATCCCCCGCCGCACGCCGTAGGACTCCCTGGCAGGCCGGAGTCGTTCTGGCAGCGGACGGGAAGACCAATGAGCAAATTTGGTTTCCCCAAATTTGCCTAGACTACACAGAAGCCTTCCCTTCCTAAATCATTCTTCATGGGCAACGATAAAGAAATAATAAGCAGCCTTGAGCTACAATATTGCAACTAGCTGACCATAACAACAAGATTCGGGGGTTTTTGTGTGTGTGTGTGTGTCCGGCCCTTACTAATAGGATAAATGCCTCGGGGTAATTTCTAAATGAATTCCTCAGGCCAAAGTGGTTCCCCAAGCCAACCCAAAGCACATTTGATAGAGAAGGATTATCCCTGATTGAGTTTATTTCAGAGAAGCTGGTGACGAACTGAAAACACCATCATGCTTCCACACAGGCAGTTCTTGCCCAAACAATAACAGCTCTGCAGCTGACTGTACACTACAGAGGGTGTTAAGAGCACTTTTTTTTTTTTTTGGCATGCTGACACAGTGACACCTCTATATTACCGCCTTGTGATCCACCTACAGCCAGTGGTTCCTCTAAATATCTTTATTCATACTACACGCATGAGGTGAGAAGACCCCCGCTAAACGGCTCCAGCTCTGAGGCAAACGTATTGTCTTACCTCACCGAGAGCGGAGCTCCCCCGTCTGCTCTGAGAGGACTAGGACTAAAGCCCTTAATCCCCCGCCTTGATTTGCGATAGCCTGCTAGGTTTTTAAATGTCATCAGTGGGGAAGTGTGTCCTCCTCCTGCCCCACATGCTCAGCTTATTAATACAACACTGGGGTGCATTTATTTGGAAAAAGAAACATGTCAGTCAGACTGCTCGCCATCTATTTATATACAGTAAGCCACGCTCAAGGCTCCAGCAGCAGCAGTGAAGACTGACAAGTGAGATGTTGGATATGTAAGTTCACCATAAATCTTGCTAAATACAGACCGTGCATAAACTCTGCTAATAATGTGACATGCATCTGCTTCTTCTGGAGACTTTAGCTGCCTGGAAATAAAACTAACGGCGTGGACTCGTCTGTAGCAGGACCACTAAAGAGATGGCCGCAAAGTTTTGCTTCAACACCAGGGAAAGAAGAAAAACAATGCCCCTACAGTCTCATGTTTACAGTTGCACTACAGTACCTTGCTTTAACACATGGGACTTATGGGGAGTAATGCTTTACTGTCAGAAGGATGATGCACTCCAAGTTTCTGGATTTGCAGAAGACTAGGAGTTTTAAAAATACAGTTGCTACAGTGTGTGGATTGGCGTTAAAGTGTTTGGGAGAAGATTAGACTATCAAAACAGAAATAGTTTAACAAAGCAACATAACATTAACACCCCAATGATAATGTGCGCACCATTAAAAGCATCACTACATTAACTCTAACAGTTTTTGTCCCGAATTAAACTAATGCCGTTTTTCGGCTTTAGACCCTTACCATTCCACCTGCAAACAGCCCCCGAGACCTGAAGTTCTAGATTTTTTTTTTTTTTTTTTGTCAATTACAGGAGCGCTTGCGCACAAAGCGGGCGCCCGCACACACCATTTGTCAGGCTATGGTCCTGAGCTAAAGGCTGGCAGTGAAACTGATGATCCTCCTCCTTCATTCATTCGTGGTAGGACGAGTGTCCGCGTCGGAACTCCTCGCCAGCACAAAGCATGTCAAAACCCGGCGCACACGGAGCCAGCGCGCTGACATGACGGAGTGCTTACCTCTGCTGCCGCTCGCCGCTCCTGTCCCTCCTCCTCCGGGCGTTTGTCCTTGTTTCGCTACGGCGATGGTTTATGCGTGAGCGCTGTCTTTATCCCGCAAAGACCGCAGTTGCATTTTACAGCCAGTGGAGCAACACTGTGTGGTGGCCGTGCGCTGCTCTGCGAGTAGACCCCCTCGGTGCTCGGCCCAGGCTCGTCACTTCAGTGTGGACAGAGGACGGGACTGGATAGACGCGTCTCTGTGCGCTCGGTGCGCGGCAGCGGCGGATCTGCGCTGTGAGCGACTCGCTCGGACGGACTGGCAGACTCACCGTGTGGCCACTTTACTCCCGATGCTGCTCCTCCCCTTTCACTCCGCTCCGCTGACACAAGCCCTCCAGCGCCACCACCCCGTGGCTCTCCGTAACTGCACGCACCTGACGACCTCCATCAGTACACCATCGTCTCCAGAGGTTCACAGGATCATTAGCAGCCGTCACTAAATCCACATTTAGTTGAATCTATTCAATTCCTATGACACACACAGACAAAAAAAAAAAACTTTGATGGCTGTCCTCCAAAATGTGTCCTGACCCACCATTTTTGTTATTAATGCCTGGTCTTGCAGGACACAATAAAAGGGATGTCAAATATAAAACAGTTGCATGACTCATTAAATTTAAGCAGAAGTCTTAAATGTGATACTCATGGGGATTTAATTCTAATAATGTTAAGATGTTTTGGTAATGAATCCTACAAAAACATTTGGATTAGAATTTCAAAAACAGAGGCTTTGGTTCATTAACTATTATTCTTAATTATGAACAGTGCCCAGCAGAAAAAGAAAAAAAAATCAAGGCAAATAGGATTACATTATGAACAAATGAACTTAAGTTAAAGTTTAGCACTGTTATAAAACTTGTGATTGAGAAAGTTTGTGTTGAAGCAAAATTTGCTTAAAGTACAACTCTATGAGTGAATATAATGAAAAAGGTTTGAATGCTACTTTAAGATACATTTTAAAAGTTTTACGTTGAGCAATATTACTTGAGCAGTGATTCATAAACCATTCAACTTCTTTCTTAAAGCAGACGTCAGACCAAGATGCCTTCATGGAAAAATACAATCAAGGTTTTTACTAGTCATGATTCTCTTGCCAAGGCGAATTCTGCAGAGGGCATCTGTTGTGATAGAGAGGATCCTTTGGACCCATTGATCTTGTTTGTCCAGACTAATGACTGCAGCACCGAAACCGCATCCTTAGGACAGAGGTGGGAACGACTCATTATTTTTCCATCACAAGTACTTCTCAGTCTTTCCACGCGAGTCGTGATGTCCAAATCCTGAAGCGAGTGCAAAGTCAACACATGCACATTTAGAGTCCTAAACCCCTAAGTTAGTCATCTTGTGTATTTGGCAGAGCAAGTAGCGAAGGGAACGCTAAAAGAATTTGTGCTGATGCTGGATTTCCCATTAAAATAAAAATAAAAAAAGCCCAAATCCAAAGGACTTTTATGTTCCTGTATTTTACCGTCTTCAACTTGAGGCCTTTCAAACAAAGTACATTTGTTGTAAAACTAGTGCTTTAAAGTGACAGTGCAGCTCTGCGTATTACCCGAGTACAAAGAAATGGACTTTTATGTTGCTGTATTTTACTGTCTCCAACTTGTACGTCTTTGAAATTCAGGGTAGTCGGTGGAAACTGAGATAACGTTAGAGTGTTGGTTGCATTTGTTATACTTTCAAGTCAAGCAAAACTGAAGAGAGGCGACACTAATGGTAAAGACCGAGATGAATCCCAGGTGTATTGTGATTCTGTCAATTCTCAAATACTTCTGCCTTAGGTGCTTTATCAATCTGAGCTTTAGAGTATACAGAGGAAAGATTATATGCTATTAGTTTATTCCACAAATATTTCCATTAAACATTGACTGTTAGCTTATGTTTGAGGCAACGGAAACACAGGGTTTCCCCTAGAAAGCTTGCTAAGCCTGGTGCTCAGGGCTCTAAGACAGTCATCCAGCCACCCTGCGTGTTTTTGAGTAAAAGATTGTTTAAAGTTGACAGGAAATTTGAATATATCATTTGATAGTTAGGCATTTTTCAAAGATTAATACCTCAAAACCAACTATAGAGTCATAAAAAAGGTAATCACAAATAAATTAATACTATGCTTGGTGGGAGCACAAGTAAAGCCTGGTGGCCCGCCAGGCTTATAATACAATGAGGGAAATCCTGAAACACAAATAAATATTACATTGTTCAGTTAAAATTATCCAACACAACCTTGACATAGTGTTAGAATTAAACACACGCCGTAAAATACATTTTAATAGTTTGTGTGAATTTAAACATTTACTCCGGCGTGCTCGAGTTAAACTTAAATAATCCTTAAGCAAAGATCTACTGAAATAAAATGTACGCACTGCTGCACCAGCATCACTGGTTAAACTAACTGGTTCATCAGAGCAGTCTCTCTGTCCTACCTGGTGGTTAAATGCTGGTAATTACATTCACTTTGCATCCTGGTTGTAAATCAGTGCCTGATTAGAGGGGCTAGCACGAAAAATCAACAGGCATCTCTCTGGTGTGGCACAAATAGCCTGAAATCAATGTCCCTTGTTTTTTGTTTTTTTTTCTCTCTCTCCTGACCACAGAGAGCAGTGCGACATGGTCAACAAAAGCCAGAGGGGTAGATGATGAATGATATGCTGATGTTGTTGTTGTGAAGGACGCAACAAGACAGGTGCAAGCAATTCATTAATTATACATCAATTCAATTAAACGATAGCTTTTTAACATTCGAATAGCTCGCCGCTATCTCGGCTGCTAAATGTGCAATTAACTCGGACAAGAACGTTTCAGTCCACAGAAACTCCTTCGAATACTGACAACAACCTTCAAGAAGAAGAAGAAGTGACTTTGCTTGAAACAACGCTCACCTGGCTGCGTTTGGCGCCATTTCCTGCGTCCTCTTCCGCCTTTTAGCTTCAGCTCATACTACAAACCAAACCAGCTGTGCTTGATTGGCTATTGTCGAGGGGGGCGTGTCCAACTTCTTTCATTGACAGCTTTATCGGCCACGTGTTCAAACAAAACCGCACAATCTGGACTTCCAATCAGCTTCAAGTGAAAACACCTGTGCAATATGTATTGTTTTGTTGCCATAAATCTAACAACAGCACGAAGGATGACTGAAGAATATTTTTATTTTCCTTTTTTTTTTCAATTAAAATACAATTAGATGTCGAAATTTATAGATTATTTATTTATTTATTTATTTATTTATTTATTTATTTAGCATCCACACCCTATTCCAGTAGATGGCGGCTGCGGTAATGCACATCTAAATGCTGCTTGACAACCTAAATGCTGCTTGTCAACCGCCACAAAAAACAAAGAAGGATGACTGAACGCATACATATTAGAGGGCTCCCTACTGTAAAGGTACACTCAGTTGGTGAAATTATGGGTTTTTATTTCACAAACCCTACATCTACCTATGTCACACATTGTTAGCAGTGTGGAGAATAGCCTCAGATTTAAAAAAACAAACAAAAAAAAAAACACTCGCTTTCCACTTTGTTAGGTACCAGTTTGTTTGTCCCCCCTGCCCCCTCTCTCTTTTTCCTTTCCATATTAGTTCTTTGTGGCATAAGTTCAAAAAGGTGTCAGAAACATTCCTTGGAAATTTTGGTACATTTTGACAGCAGCATTGAGCTTCAGTACACCATAAATCTGGAACAAACTTCCGTAAAAATTCAAAACAGCTGAAACACGGAGGAGTTCTATTAAATCAAGGCTAAAATCCCACCTGTTTAGAGTTGCCTTTGAACCAAAATAAATGGAACAAGTGGTGTAATTGCATTTGTATTTCATTATGTATATTTGGTTATAAGGACTTGCATTTACACTTAGGAATATGAAAGTCTTTTTCATTATGTTTTGTTGGTGAAATGTCTGTCTGAAATAAATTATCATTATCATAACATTGACCAATATGTTCGACGTGCATTGAGGGTTTTGATGCTGGCGCTCATCAAAATGTAATGTTTGTAACTAGTTTCTCAACTGTTGACTGTATGCTCTTTTTATGACTTCTTCTTTCTGTGCTTTTGTGATATAAAGGACACTGAACTGCCTTGTTGCTGAAATATGCTAAAAAAACCAAACATAATTTATTAATTGACATGAGATTGTACAGTTAGTGTGGAGCTTTCCACCACACTGAAAGGTGTTCTGTAAGGCTACTGGTGTATAATTAAGTGATTCCCATGCTAAAGACACCAGTTTGAGATGAATTAAGCTTTGGATCACGGTGAATAATCCTGCTAGAAGAGGCCATTAATAATTCTGCAAACTCACCCAGTCTGTGCAATTAAAACAACCCCTACATTTTCATTTTCACCCAAGTTTTTGAATATTACTCCAAATTTGAGTCTGTATGACTTATGGCTTTAATGTTCTCAGCTGACAAGAGTTTCATCCAGTGTGGCCTTCTGCTGCTTCACCCCACCTGTTTCAAAATTCAACAAGTTGTGCATTCAGACATGTTGTACTGTACACCTCTGTTGCAACGTGCAGTTGTTTGAGCCACTACAGCCTCTCTTTCATCTCAAACCAATCTGCCGACTGTCCTCTGACCTCTGGCACAATAAACAATTCATCCACAAAACCGACACTTGGAATATTGGACTGTGACCCATTCTGCAGAAAAAACTGCCTGCAATCAGTCTGTTTAGCACCAACGTTTTTCAAAGAACAAGTTTGAAGTTCTTTAAACGTCTTTCCTACCCATTCTGATTCTCAGTTTGAGCTTTTGCAGGACATCTATACCACATCTAGATGCGTTAATGCACTGAGTTGCACGTGAGGGACTGATTTGCCATTGTGCTCTCAAACCTTTCAACCGATGTACCTAGCAAAGTGGCTCATTGGTGTTTGACTTCTAATTAAGAAGAAACATGAAAAAAGTATATATCTGCCTAAACTACCAATGTACAAAAGTTTATTTTTCTGTTACATTTAGCTTCTTTCTTTTTTTCTCCCCTCCTTCAGATATTTTGACTTTTGGCAGTGAGCAAAAGCCCAGGTGGAAATAACAATGACTCAGTTTATCCCAGTAAGCTGCTGCAGAGAGCCAGGAAACACAAAAGGTGGATCTGCCCAGAGGGAAAGTGATCGTCATTAATATAGCTGCGCTTCATCCCCAGAGAGGTATCAAAACTCTGCAGTGGGAAAAAGCTCCCCGAAGTTCTACGGCAACCATTAACCCTCAGGGAGCCATAAGGGAAGGTTCTTTAAAGGTTTCCCGAAGGACTGTAGTTTCAGGAAATAGTCTGGGGAGGCTTCCTAAACCGACAGACTGACGTTCACTTAGGCTACTTTTTTTCCCCTCTCTAATCTTTGCTTATTTTGCCACGATCATCTATCTGGGTTAAAGTCTGGCAAATATTTCTACATTCCTTGTAAAAGTTTTATTATATCAAAACAAGCTTTGCAGCACTCAAGATACATTCAGCTTCCTTACAAAGTTTTGCTCAACATAGTGAAAACAACCCTAAAAAGTCAGACGGGACTTAACATTTCAAGCACCTTTTTTTGGTGTTTGACAATGAAAGCAGGTAGAGCAATAAATTCACTCCCTTTAGTTCAGTTCAGTTCAGTTCAGTTTTCCGAGGGAAAATTGGTTTTCAGCAAGGATCATAAGTACAAAAAGTAGAAAAAAGCATCCACAAAAAGAAACTGCATTCATTCTTTCAGAACAACATAACTCCAAATATTAGGAGAAATAACTGATGTTATAAACCAGAAATAAGATTCTTAAGAAAATAAGGCATCCCTAAATAAAAATCCAGCGCAACCAGTTCATTCTAGAAGTTAACTCACTGGTATTGAGCTGCCAACCTGTGTGTTGTTTACGCTATTAACGCTACTCTGAGAAGACTTCAGAGGTTTGGAGAACATTAGTGAACAAACAGCATACAAGACGATGAAACACCAACCAGACTGGTCAGAGAGAACGTTGGTTTCAAAAACAGAATCTCAAGTCTGACTTCGCTTGAGCTGTTTCGCAAAGAAGAGAGGGTAAGTGTAAGCCATGGTAGAGACACAGAACTGTACAAAACGGCTCTACCAAGTATTGACTCAGGCTGAATATAAATGCATGCCACACTTTTCAAATGTAATAAAATCATATCGATACCAACATGTCAGTTTCCATCTCAACCACACGCCGCGCCACGTTGGTCTTTCTCGTAGAATTCCCTCAAAACACGTTGAAGTGTCTGCAACATCCCGAAATGCGGAAGTGTTCAAAGAGTATGGATATTATGCAGGGCTTTTGCATATATTAAACATATTCCATGTAAAGTAGCAAAGTGATACTAAAAAAAAAAACAAACAACACTTATAAGTAGTAGCAGTATCTTTCTCGCTGGTACACACCTTGAGTGCATGCGCTCTCAAATGCTGGGATAAAATACTCGAGCAGCTCTCGAGTCCCCAGATATCCAGCATTGCATCAAAATGTCACACTTGGCAGGATAGACGGCGGGCCTTATCGAGGGTCAAATTCTATTCTGCAGTCATTTCAGGAGTCTTTCAGCTGTGGCTTTCAGCGAGAGGCAGGGGAGCGAGATGATGTGCGATGGCGTGTGCTAATTCGTTGTAGAGCCGATGGAGGCAAATCCGAGCCTGCAGGTACTTGGCTGAATTAGAAAATGGGGGAGGGAAGGGGCTTTATCTTCTTCTTTTTTTTTCTTCTTTTTTTTTTGCATTTTACAACTAAAGCGCCATATCGGAGATCTTTGTTTTTATGAAGTGAGCCTCCCGAAGGAATACCGGCGTCGTGTTCAAAGATGGAGGGGAGCTCTTCTGGGGCCATTCGAAGCCGACGTGTTTGTGTTTTTAGTCGCAACTCTAATCAGGAAGAAGGAAAGCTGTGGAAGATGTCCAGTTCTGAAAAATGCAATATGAGATTTGTAAGAGGCAGGAAACAGCACAATATCCCTTTGTTGTCTGACTTTAAGTAACGCTGCAGGGTATTTGTATTTGTGGGGACAGGAGAAAGATATGCTATGTGTTTTTTTTTGTGTGTTTGTTTTGGTTTTTTTTGTTTGCCAGCTGTGGGATGAACTATTTTATGTTCAAACAAAAACAAGTTTGTATGGCCATGCCAAATTTATAGGCCGATGAAAATGTTGCCAGTAATTGTGACATAAATTCTAATTAAACTAGAGGATCTCTGGAAAATAAATGAGGTGCATATTTGAATAAAAAATAAGGTCTTTATGAAATTTTGTGTGGGAGTGCTAAAACAAAAAATAAATAAATAAAAAAATGTTTTGTTATTTTTGCAGGTTCTTCAGCATCTATTTAACTAGTGCCAGAGGTTCTGCAGGGCATTGTGTTATTCATGCCCTTTACTCTACGTGACAAAGTCTGCAACATGTAAACAGCGGTAATTGGGCTCAGGGGGCAGTGGGCTAAAAAACAAATGGCTTCCATGAGTTTCACTTTATTTTGCAGGTCGTATCTTTTTTTTCCCTGCATAATTCAGTAGGAGGAAATGGAAACAGAACGGGGGTAAAAAAAATAAAATAAAAAATGACTCGTCCTGTT